AAGAACAAGTAGGATATTTCCTTAGAATCTCCTTAACTTTTTGCCATTTGATGGAAAAGTCCTTTTTTAAACCTTTGCTGTTTACATGATTGTTTTGAAATTCTGAGGTCTTCAGTACATTTCCAATCAATAATTGATCGATTTTTGCATTACCTTGTGCTAGAAGATCTGACAGATACGTATGGGATCAGATATGTGTTATGTACTTGGGATAATGCCTATTCCTGATTATATCTTGTACCTGAATAAACAATAAAATCAATTCTGTATCATCTGGTATAAAGTCATGGTTTTAATATACAAAACAGTCCTTTCTACATATTGTGAATTGGTAACTATCTTGAGAGGTTCTTTAAAATACATTAGTTCCATTACAATAACATATAATTCTGACTTTTGGACAGAATCATAAGGGTTTGGTCCACTTTATTTAAATTTTCTTGTTTGTAAACCGCCTTTCTTGATTTATTTGCATTAGTATAGAATGTAGGGGGCTCCAGTTATTGGTGTGTCCCATACAATAAAAGGAAGGCCCCAGTTAGTTCTTTTTATAAGTCAAATTCTCTTGCTTTTGGAATATTTGTTGATCTCTCTGAAAAAAATTACTACAAGTTCTTTGCCAGGGTTCACTTTATTCCCATAACTTTTCAATTTCATCATTATTAAAAGGTACTATCATTTCTGCTGGGTCTAATCCTGTTAATTGATGTAGTCTCAATTTTTCTTTTTTTTTTATAATTAACTCAAGGATTTTTTCCACAAAAGTTTTTAATTCTCTTCTCAGTTTATGTAAAAAGATCTGGTCTAAGATAATATCTTTCTTCTGCAATAAAATTTCTGTAGGGGAATGTTTGGAGGGTAATATGACCAGATTGTAGTTGAGATTTGGATCCGCATGACCCACATGTGCCTTCTGTAATTTCTTTTCAATAAAAACCAACAGATAATTCTCTGGTATTATTTAAGTCCTTGTTACCATCTAAAGTTTTGTTTGAATTACTCAGTTCATCAGGACCTATCCCAATAGTGGGCTATAGATGGGAAATGTCTCCTAGTCATCTTTAGAAGTCATAAAGAGTCTGTAATCCATCTCTCCTAATTTGCACCTTTTGGGGTCTAATTTTCTGTAAACCTATTTTATAGCCTAAATAACTAGTAGAATCTCCTCAGGAGCAATTTGTAATCTCCCACGGGGCAAAATTTTCTTCTTCAAATATTCTTTCTAAAGTATCTATGTTTGAATCAGATAGTAAAATGCCATCCATGTAATGATAAATTATATATTCAGGAACTGCTTACATATCATATCCAATAACTGATTTATAAAATATTGGTGTAGATGCTGGGCAATGGTGGCACACGCCTTTAATCCCAGCACTCGGGAGGCAGAGGCAGGCGGATCTCTGTGAGTTCGAGACCAGCCTGGTCTACAGAGCTAGTTCCAGGACAGGCTCCAAAGCCACAGAGAAACCCTGTCTCGAAAAACCAAAAAAAATATATATATGTGTGTGTGTGTGTGTGTGTGTGTGTGTGTGTGTAGAGTAGGACTATTTAACATTCCCTGTGGGATAATCTTTCATTGATATCTATTAGCAGTCTGAAAATTATTATAATTAGGCACTGTGTAGGCAAATTTTTTTTGTCTTTTCCTTGTGAATGTAAAGTGAAGAAACAACCTTTTTTTTGGATCTGGAGGCAATATTCAGTAGAACTCAAGGTTGTTGGCATTGTTGTTAAGAGTCTTTCTGTGGGTGACAAAGATCTGGATCAGCTCCAGTACAAGAAGAAGAGGGACTTAAAGGAGCCAATTGGATGAGTGGATGGGGGGATTCTGGCAAAACTAGCTCACAAGATTTTGTCAAAAGCAAGCCAGAGCCATTCATTGGAAAGAGTGGAAATGAGGACTTGAGCTGATGTCAAGGACGAGAAATTTCTTTAGGTTGATTAGTTGGGTGTGGGGGTGGGGTAGCTACAACTGTAAGAATGGATGCAGGAGCCCAAGTTCAAGCTGAGTTCTTAGTCAAGAGGAGTCAGTGAAGCCTGTCAAGGGGGAGGGGACAGTCTTTGTCAGTGAGCTTCTTCAACTTACTCCACTGCCCAAGAAGGTCTGGAGATGGGATTTGAAGTGCTCTATGGCTGGTAGGATCCTGAGCTCTACTCTCAAGCACATAGAATTCTGAAAGTACGGTGTGTGTGTGTGTGTACATGCATGTGTGCATACATGCATGTGCATGCTCATTCATGCATGTGTGTGGCATACATTTAGAGATCCAAGGTCAATTTGCAGGAATTGATTCTTTCTTTCCACCAGATGGTGCCCTAGGACTGCACTCAGGTTTTCAGGGTTGATGACAAATGCCTTAACTCTCTGCGTCATCTCAATGATGACTTTTCTTAAATTTTGAAATAAGGTCTCACTTTGTAGCCGAGGTTAACCCAGAACTCACAATACCCTTCTTCAGTTTCTGGAGTTCTGGGATTGCAGGATCATGGTTCATCACCATATTTGGCTCAAGTATAGACATCTTTACCTCACATGAGACTCTGGACCCCTGGGATTAGCTTGGAATTAACTTGGCCACAGATATTGATCTATGATTGGTGAGCCAGTGAAGACAGATGCCATGACAGAATCAATTTGGCTGTGATCTGCAGGTCCCTGTGCTGCAGTGGGGACTGGAAATTCTGGAATGGTGCCCAGGGAGGCAATATTCCAGAAGTGGTCCTCTGGCCTGGGCGATAAATCCCAGAGCCACAATTAAGACAAAGCACTGTGAATGTGCCACCTGTTGACAGTGGCAAAATGGCCCAGAAACTGATTATGAATGAAACTTGCAGGCAGCTCGTCAGGAGTAAGCTGGGCATGGGCCCAGGAAACTAAGGACAAGGCTTGATATCAGGGAGGAGGGATGCACCTCCCTGTATTCAGGGTCCTACAGAGGGTCCCTGTGTCCAGAAAGCACAACCTCTGTCTTTTCCGGTTGCTGTGACCAAGGCAGCTTACAGGAGAGAGTACTTGATGGTCTCGCAGCTTCAGAGGGTTAGATCCATGATGGCATAGTGAAATCATGGTGGCAGGAACAGACGAGCCCCTGTTAATCCCTCCAGACACCCTTAGTCCTATATTCTATTCTCTCACCCTGAAAATCTACCCCAAACCTGATACAAAGCCTTCTGCGCCAGAAATGCCCAAAGCCCTGGCTCAGATCCTCCCAACTGAGTCCAGAGTAGCTTATGCAACACCCACTTTGCAGGTGGATGAGTTGAGACTCTGAGCGGAGACATTGTCCTCAGGGGCACACAGCTGTTAAGTGTGGACTTAAACCATGTTTGATTGATGGCAGGACTGGTTTCTGAGACACACGTTTCTGGGCTGGAAATCAAGTCTAGTCATGGTACAGCCACACACTTGGTCCTCTCTCCATGCTCTAGGGAATGATGCAGACCATGGATGGACCTGATCACTTGATGGTACAGTGCTGGGGTCAGCAGACTACAACCTGGGGGCCAAATCAGCATACCTCTCATTTTTTATAAATAAAGTTTTATCAGAACCTGGTCATACTCATATTCAGATATTGCCTGTTGAATTAGGAGCGGCGAGGATGCGTCCCTGGCACCCGGCCGCCCGCATGGCTAGCTTATGCCCGAAATAATTACACGGAAACTGTATTCTTTCAAACACTGCCTGGCCCGGCTAGTTCCAGCTTCTTATTGGCTAGCTCTTACATATTGTTCTAACCCATTTCTAATATTCTGTGTAGCCCGCGAGCTGGCTTACCAGGGAGGATCTTAACCTGCGTCTGTCTGGAGCGGAAGAATCATGGCGACTCCTCCTCTAACCTTCTTTCTCCCAGAATTCTCTTCTGTATACTCCGCCTACCTAATTTTCTATCCAATAAAATGGGCCAAGGTAGTTTCTTTATTAATAAGAAACCATTCCCACATCAATTGCCCACAACTGCTTTTGTGTTTAATGGCAAAGTTCTTTGCCACAGGGACCGTGTCTGCCAGGAATCTAAAACATTTAATATTGGCTGTTTATAGGGAAGGTCTGCTACTCTTGTCATAAAGCTCATTGCTAAGTTGCTTAAACCGGTGCTTTTACTAAGAACCAATACCCTTATTTTTTATGATTTGGAATATTGTATATGTTCATGCTTTGGGTATACAGCATCAGGCATATTTCAGTGTGTATCTGGCATGTACCACTTTATTATTTTATGAACAATATTACAATAAAGACTCGTGGTGTAGCTCAGTGGTAGAACACATGCTTAGCATGCCTGAGGTCCTGGGTTCAACCCTCATGGTCCTTGGAAATATACATATATGTATGTGTGTATACACACATATTTACATATGTAGAAGACTATATATATTATACACACACATATGATATATCTAGGGTTTGTGCTTTGTGGTTTTGAGTGTGACTTTATTGGCAACACCTTGCCAGATAGCAAACACTGAGCTACACAGGTCTTCCCTGAAGCAGAAGAGGGCAGAGTCTCCTTGGATGCTCTGTGGTGTGTGACTCCAACACGTCAGAGCGGTAGCGATGAGGCAGCTTTGAGCCAAATGAAAAGCCGCTCAGCTGACAGACTGTGCTGTTTCCTCCTAGTGGTGCGTGAGGTGATCAGTGCCCCAAGCTCAGGAGCGCCTATCCCACCCTAGCAGAGGGTACTGTGTCTCTGTGGTTCACCCTACAGAGGCGTCAGAGAGGAGCTAGGACAGGGCTGCTTACCCATCCCTGCTGCCTGGAGCTCGGGACTGGCCCCTAAAACCCTGGATCTGGGGCAGAAACAATATCAAAGCGGGGATTGGCCGACTCCTAGCACAAATGCCAAGCAAGCCCGGCGTGGACAGCGTGGGGGCGTGACAAATCTCAGCCTGTCTCTAGCTTGTGTTCCCCGGCCAGTCTGCCTTGGGCCTTGCCCCACGATGACGGGCCCATTTTTCAGCTTCACGCATCTCCTCACCATTTCAGGACTTCTCTGTCACTCAGCTGGCTACTTGAGTAAGTGTGTGCACGCGCATGCGAGCCTGTGTTAGAGAGGGAGGAGAGAGAGGGAGAGGGACATAGAGAGAGAATGTGTGCATGCAATTTTTTTTTAAAGACTTGTAATTAGGCTTGTCCTGGGAGCATTAGCAGATGTTAAATTAGAAACTCCTCAGCCGGTGTTAGGACTGCAGTGTAAAGGGGTGTGATGGAGTTAGTGGGGGCCTTGCACACATGCCCATGTGTGTGAACTTGTTTATTGTCCCTCTGGTGACCTTGACTCCAGGGTGGCTGGCAGCTGCTGTCCCCTTGACTTTGAAGTAAAACCAGGTTCTATAGTCCATGTGTCCACCCCCTGCCCCCACCCCTTAAGTGACTGGGATGCTCGCCATCATTCCAGGCCAGCTGGCTTGGGTGATGCGGCTCAAAGGCTCAGAGCCACCAAAACACCAAATCGCTTTCTTGGCAGGTGTGTCCTCCCTCACCTGCTGCCCAGGCCTACTCTGGTGCAAACCTCCACCATGGCCTTTCAAAGAACTTTAGGATCAGAATTTGTTTTCCAAAGGCGGTATGGTCTGTGCATTGGGCTAAGGAACGGCACAGGGAGTTAGGCTTCTCTGGGATATGTGAATCATAGACAACTTTGGGCAAACACAGCTGGCTCCTGTGCGGATGTCACTGCTGCTGGGCCTCCCAGCCTACCACTGATGCATCCAGTGACGCCATGGAACATGCCCCTTCCGCCTCTCCTTTTCTGGTGTTTCCTTCTAACACTGCTCTCACGGGTGGGAAAGAAGTGAAAACTCGGCAGGCTGCTACCACATGCCGGGCAGGTACAGAACGCCAGCATATGGTTGCACTTGGCATTTTCCAACCTGCGGAGGCAGGAAGTCTTCTTCTTTCATAGCTGCTTCCTTTGGCAGCTTTTAGTGACTCGCTGGCTTCCCCTGAGGGATGCTGTTTGGTGTAGGAAGTTGAAATCGGAACGGCTGTCTTGGTGGCCTTGCTTGGTGGCCTGGGCTTGTCTTGCATGTATGAAAATGAGGATAGACCTAATGGTGATCCCAGGGTCACACTGACCTTAAAAACTGCCTGTGGAGGCAGTATATGCCAAACTCTTGATGGTACAAATGAAGAAACTTGAGTCCTTGGGCTGAGGAAGTGAGTTGTACCGTATTACAAGGCCATGTGCCCTCCAGACTCACACTCTGCAAAGCAAGTTCCTGTATTTGCAAAAGTCCATTGGTGTAGATCACTTTCCAAGAATAGAACTCAGTTTCTAATGAGGAAAAAACAAAACACTTGCCAAAAACCTTCATTAGACAGTTACCTCTACTTTGGCAGTGTGATACCCACAAACAACATGGCACTGGTATCTTGAAGTGAAGGCCAGTGGTCTTGGAGTCCTTTGTTGACATTGCTAAGGCAGCCGCCTGGAGCTGAGCCGTGCTCACGGTGCACCAGGCCACAGCAGGCACGGTGTACTACACACAAGTCAGTTTCTGTTACAACAGAGCCTTCTGGGGCTCTTCCAGGCTGGTCCGTGAGCTTAAGTGCTATTCCAGCAGAGACAGCACAGGCCTGGGAGAGACCCATGGGCCACTCAGCACCAAAATAGATACCTGAAGCCCTGGCTTAGCGGATGGGGAAAGTGAATGGGGGTGGGGGCACTGCTTCTAAACTCAGCCACCTGATGGAAATACTCAGCGCTGGAATGAGCTGTAAATAAACCAGACTGTTTATTTACAGCTCCTGGAGGTGGGAGAGGGGCAGAAACCGAAGCCCTCCACCTGCCGGGATGAATGGGGAGGGTGGGGTAGTGTAAAAGGCAGATGCTCCTGCAGCAAAAGCAGCTGATAATTTATGTGCGCTGAAGATGTCTCCAGTTTCCAGGAAGAAGTGGGAGAAGTGATTGCCCTGAGAGACCCAAGATCTTTCATTAGGGCAGCTCCCAGGGTGTTGGGCGGGCCACACTGGAGACCAATAATGGGCTGGAAAATCAATGGTGATGGTGCAAATTAGGCACATGGCCCGCCAGGCTGCAGTCTTAGACCTTTGCTGTCTACTGAGGCAGAAGGGAGACAAAAGGAAAGTGGGTCTGAAGGGGACTCTAACAGGCTTCAGAGGCTAGTGTATACCGTACCTGCCACCATCTTGGCTAGCCCAGGTGGCAGGGAAAAGCGGAAACTGTCTACTCCTGACTTCGCGTTGCTGGAAAAGAGCTATGAGAATATCTGAAAAAACATAACTAACATTTCCACCAAGAAAGAGGGCAGTGGGGACTGCAGAGATGGCTCTGTGGCTAAGAGTGTTAGTTGCTCTTCCAGAGGACCAGGGTTCAATGGTACATAATTCCATAACCTTCAACCTCAGACAGCGTTACTTTGTGACCCTGATGGAACAGTACAAAAGTCATGACCAAACACAGACAAAAGCCGAGGCTCTCCCACCCCGAAGTGATCCTTCTTATTCTTGTACGTCATCAGCCTTTGTTCTGTTCCATTCCTTCTTCTCCCAGAGAAGAACCAAGCCAGTTGATCGCAGAACAGCCCATTCTACTGGGCAGCAGCTGCTCCGAGCACCTCAGTCTCCTCCACAAATCTGCAAGGAGCCAGAATCCCAGAATAAGTTTCTCTTTGTGCTTGCTGGTTCTTCCCATGTGCCCTCTCTTCTTGCCACGAACCAACAAACCCAATTTGGTTCTTCCTTGGCTGTGTTCCCAGTAGTCTTTGGTTAGAAGATATTGATATGGTGGTCTCAAGTGGTGTTATGGGAAGCCCCTGCCTCCTTCCTGGATCCCAGTCTTGATTTGTAACCTATCGGAAGTCATAGTTCAAAAGAGCGAGCTTTTGAAATAGCTCACCTGGGCTTGAGTATAGGTTCCACTGCTGACTCGCTGTTTGACCTTAAGCAAATTGACTCACTGACTTGGTTAGCTGGTCAGTGAAGAGGGAACGGCAATGGCAGTGTTGGTTAGCTTAGCGCAGGGTTGCTATGAAGGTTTGGCATGCCTGTATACATGAACCACACAAATGGTGCCTCACCTGTAGTCAGTACTGATCACTAATTGTTAATTCGGCAACCATTTATCGAAGTCTGGTGTCTACCAGATACAGTGTTAGACCCTGGGGATAGAAACTGGCCCTTGTCCCCCTCCCAGGGGAGCACATTCTGGGAGGAAGAAGGAAACAGTTTTATCCTGTGGAGAAGCACAAACACGGGGAGGAACCCAGAGAAAAGCATGGTAAGGCCCTGAAATTTGGCCTGAGAGTGAAGGAAAGCTTTCTAGAGATAATATTCCACATGGAGCTCAGCTCTGAGAGGCACGGAGAGGCCCGCCTGGACTTGTTCTGTGAGGTCAGGTATCCGAACAAGAGAAGGAAAACTAGGAACCGAAAAACATGCCCTTTCTGCCGCTACGAACATTCTAGTATGCCTGCCTTTCTATTGGTAAACCCCTAGACGTGAAATCACTGAGCTGGAGCGTATATCTACATCCTGCTCTATTAGAAAACACCAAGTGTTTTCCCAAAGAAGATCTCAGCCTTCATTCCCCCATGCTAAAAAGTAGCAGTTTTCTCTGAACAGCCCTGCCTGGCCTGGATCAGAAGAAAAGGGGCAGCCACAAAGCATGCTGCCTCCTGACCCCTCCGCCGCCCCCACTGTTCCCACCACCCTTCTTCAGAGGCAGCCGGAGCCTGGTGAGTGTTCTGCACTTCGGTGAGTAGAAACCTCCAGACTTCCCCATGCCATCCCTATACAGGACTCAACATGGCCACCTCTGAATCTTGTTTGACAGAGGCAGCTCTACCTTCACTCAGGGGCCACGGCCCAGAGTGGGCACTGGGCCTGTTGTGCCGATTTTGCCACATATTTGTCCCCTGTCATCTTAAATATGTGAAGGAGGGAGCTTTTCTTCTCTGGGAGTTAGATGTAGCAAAATGCCTCATCTTTTTGAAAACACTTAGCTTCCAAGTTCCCATCAGCTGTCCAGATGCAGCCCCCCCCCCCCCGTTTCCTTCTTTTAATCAAGTATTTATGAAATCCTTTTGGTGGGAAAAGGGAAGGCAAACATGGGATATGGAGGCTAAACATGAAGAAGCAGGGTAGACAGAGGTTAGAGAATAGGCATCAAAATGCAGTTAGATGTAAGGTGTTAGGACAACTACAGTCTGTAGCAACTTATTTTTTATTAAAAAAAAAAAAAAGACCCTAGGGAAAAAGAGCACAGAGGCTCCCATTACATGGAAAATGAACAGGATCCAGTCCAGGAGGCATCTCTTTCATTGGTTTGACCTCTAACCTATTGCTTTCCTCTGAAGCTTCTCTCTCCAGACATGGAGAATCTTCTGGAACTTGAGACCTCACCATCACCCTGCATTCAAGGATCACTCGGCTCTCCTGGGCCCCCTGGTCCCCAGGTGGGTGCATCCTTCCAGGACCCCTCCTGTTTCTTCCCACAGACAAAGAATCCCAGTGGGCAGAGTCTCATAGCTCCTGCCCCTATGATGTACTGCCTGGCTGGTTTCTCTTCTATAGCATCTTACATGGGATGCTGCCCATATGGTAGTGACTGGCAGTCACTATCACCAAATACAGACATGACCATCCTCTCCACTCTTGGGCCTAGAAGTGCTTTGCTCAGTGCAGTCAGAGGAACCTGTTACCTGAGCTTCCTGGGCTCCGGACTGCTACAAGCAGCCCCCACCCAAGGTAAAAGAGAAGACCGAGGAACAAGCCTGGTGCTAGAGAAAGAACTTTCTAGACAAAAAGGAATGTACTCTGAAGATCCTCATCCCAGGCTGGTCTGCTGCCATGAGGGTTTTTTCAACGGCTTTGAGGCTCTGGGTTGTCCAAGGGAGGAGCATGTAGGTTCCTAGTGCTGTCCTAGGCAGGAAGCATAGAAATCACTACTTAGCTACTTGAACCTCTATGGCTTCCTAGCATTCAGGCACTAAAAGCTGAGCTTCCTGACCTGGAAGACAAAGTCCCATGAGTCCCTGACTTTGACTGCTCCATCAGCTCACACACCCTCCACCTTCGGTTCAGCTACAGTGTCTGTCTCTCTTCTGTGTGCACACACTCACCAAGCTTGTCTCAGGCTCTGTCCGCACACTTAGGACCCTGTTGCTCTTCCTGAAGCTTCTATAGTTCTTCCTAGTCACTCAAAGATTGGCTTTCATGCTACCCCCTCTAGAGACACCTTTAGCAGCCAAACATAGTGACACATAGCTCTAATCAGCATCAAAGGAGATTGAGACCAGGGGATTACCATGAGTTTGAGACCAGACTGAACTAAAGCTGAACTTCAAGACTGCTTGAGCTACTGAATGAAACCATATCTCAGGAGGTGGTAGGGAGGGAAGGAGAGCTTTAGACAATGCCAAGTCTAAAACTATGGCATTGCATCCATCCCCGTCTGGTTTTCTAATTATTGTTTTATTCTTTATGGCTGTTTCCGGCCATCAGGGCAGAGCTAAGGAGTCTACAGACAGCAGAGGTGACTCTCCAAGCCTAAGAGAATTATTCTCTGATTTTGTAGCGAAGTTACTGAATCCGTATCTACAGAGACAGGGGTATTGTTCATCCCACTTCCCAGTCTACCCTGCCTGTGGGCTATAGCTAGCCTGTTCTCCATAATCATTTATTGACCCAGATATAATGACAGGCTTGTAACCCCAGCACTTGTGAGGCTGAGGCAGGAGGATCCTGAGCTTAAGACTAGCTTAGGCAAACATAATAAGACACCCTAGACAAACAAAGAAGCAACCAATAAAAACATCCGAACAATGTTCTAATGAAAATGACTTTGAACTCAGAGGACAGAGGCCATCATTAAGGTGCTGGGAAGTCTACAGGAAGGCCAGGTGAGAGTCCTTTATGGTGGACTCCACACCCCACTTTCAGTGCTCTCCTCTGATGGGTCTGGGTGCCCATGAGAACCAACAGAGCATGTGGAAGGAGGGCCACCCTCTGCTCAGCTCAGAACAGCGGCTCCAGCCAGCCACACTAATGCATCTCTGAGCTGCACAAGCTCTTGGGGGTCACATGGAGGCTCTGCTGCCCACCCACGGAGTCTGTGCAGCCTCTCTCCTTCCTTGAGAACAGTGAGTGCTGTTGCTATTAAAAGTGAGATAGCTAAGCCTGGAACTGGTTAGAAATGTAATCTCACGAGGTGGTTGGTTTAGGCCTGTAATCCCAGTACTTGGCAGGTGGAAGCAGGAAGATTACTTTGAGTTTGAAGCCAGCCTGAGCTACATAGTAGCAGGCCAGCCAGGGTAAGACTTCCATCACAGGAAGGAAGGAGGGGAGGGAGGGGAACCTCACACCCTGCCTGTTACCCTTCATTCAATCAGAATCTGTCATTTGTTTGGTGGGTGCCAAGCTCAATGATCTTGTAAAATAGCTCTAATCATTTTAAGAAATGAAAGGCTTGGAAGGATGAGGAGAATACAATTAAAAGAACTTCCTAACTCCATTCCCAGAAGAGAAGGCAGATAGACCAATGGTGGAATCTCCTGTCTCCACGCGATGACCCCTGGAGAAGTTCAAACATTCCTAGTGCTCACTTTCTCACTGGCTCCCACTGCCCAAACAGCCACTAGTTTGCTCTGGGTGTGGACTGAGTTTTGGGATTTTTCAGTGCTGCTGGGGAAACTGCAATGTCCTTACAGGTTTTCCAGAAACCAGACTTCCAACCGGCTTTCACGAGTGTTGTTCACTTGCAGACGGCAGGGGTTTGGTGGAAATAAAGGGATTTGGAGTGAGTTTCTTTCTGCCATCCCAAGGAATTTGGAAAACAGTCATCAACTGAGCCTTCCACAGATGCATGAGCAGAAAGCAGCCGCTTCTGGCTGTGGATGTGCAAAACACTGGTGTTTTTACAGCCTATGACTGGAGCCACCTCTCTCCCATGGCTGTCAGTGGACACAAACATGCTCCTTATATTAATGAAAGTTGGGGGAGAGGAATATTCAGAGCCCGAAGTCCTCAGGTCATTTGAGGGATGCTTTGCTTCTTCTTTCTCTTTTTTGTTTATTTTTGTTTTTGCTTCTTTGTTTTTTGTCTTTGTTTTGTTTGTAAGACAGGATCCCAGGTGGTCCAGACTGGCCATGAACTTGCTTGTGCAGCCAAGGCTGGCCTTGAACTCCCAATCCCCCCCAGCCTCTAGTTCTCTAGTGCTGAGCTGGCCACCAAGGCCATGCTCCTCCCTCCCTGGGGATGGTTCTTTGTGCAAAACTTAACTTTCTCTCCTGGTGTGGCCTCAGGGAAGCTTAGCCAACCCAGGGAAAGATCCCAAGGCTGAGGAGCAGCAGTCTCAGCAGAGACTCATCAGTCTCAGTCTCTGTGGTTGATCTGATCAAGCACTGAAGGATTTGCCGGAGAAAATTCAACTCCAAAGACCGGCAACTATGGTGCATGAAACAGTGCTGAGAAATGTCAGGAAGAAGAGACACAGAGAGCAGAGCAGGCTACAGGATGAAAGGTTCCTGCAGGGGTGCCTGGAGCCTCCACATGCAGAGTCCTAGGTCCTAGGTCCACAGACCCCTACCACAAACCCTCCCCTGCAGCCTCGCCGTGGTTGGGTATGTGCTTTCTTCACTTCTTATCTCAATTGTGTAGGGTCCGCCTGGGCTTCCTGGGAAGACAGGACCAAAGGGAGAGAAGGTAGGAGCCTCTGCTTCTTCAGCCCCCACCTCACCTTGGTAGCTACAGCTTGCTTTCTGGGGGTACCGCTGAGAATATTCTGGTTGAAATACCAAAATATGTACTCATTCTGTCTTAGCAGATGAAGAGGGTTCCCTGGTGAATGCAGCTATAGTAGGGGGTGCTATTGGTGTGTCCTGCTTCGGGTCACTGGCATGGCAGGTGGGATATAACTGGTCACGTGACCATCTGACTGACCGAGCCACAGCCACACCCTACTAAGCATTTGGATTCCAGAACATCACTTCCAAACAACCTTTGTTTATCTGTCTTCTCTATGCACAGGGGGATCTTGGCCGCCCAGGAAGGAAGGTATGACCCATGCTGCTCTGTCGGGCAACCGTGCTGCATGTGTGTGTGTGTGTGTTCAGTGGCCATCAGTACCTGGTGAAGTGCTGGTGCTGCCATCCCTCTGATGATAACAAGCTTGCCTTTTCTGTAGCCTGTGGCTGCCAGGCACCTGACAAATCTTCCAGAGGCTGCTGGGCCCGGCTGCACTTCCCCAGCCTAAACGGCGCTGCGCAGCAGAGAACTCTCCAAGCCCCCAAGCAGTGGCCCAAAATGACCTCCACTGCCTGATTAAACTGGAATGAAGTGCTTGAGCAGACAGAATGAATGGCTTTGCTTTGGAAATTACCATGGCTCAGAGCGAACCAGCTACATCTCATCACTAGAGTCAGAGAAAGAACCAGCAGGTGACGTCGCTGTCGTCTGTGGGTCCTGGCACTTAAGTTCTACTCTTGACTGTGATTGAAGGAAGAGCAAACCCAGATGAATAGAATAGATGCCAGTGGGTTTATTATTAGCAGAAGCCATAAACAGACTTTTGCAAGGTAGAAATAGCAAGGGCAGCCACAGCCCAGCGGCTGTGTCTAATGCTGACCTGGAGAGAACCCTGTGGTGGGCTTCCAGTATGTTCAGATGCTTCAAGTCTGCCATGGGCCTGGAAAGCAAAAGTAGAGTGTAAACACCAGCATCTGGCATCTCTGAGCTCTTGGCCGATCCTTTTGTATCCTTAGCTAACTGCAGTGAGCCGCTGGGTGGGAGGTCAGAAAAGATCCCTCAGTCTATGCTCACCCTCTTTCACAGGGGTTCTACAACCCTTAGCAGAGGTGGGGCTCTCTGGAAGCAGAGACACACACAAGTGAGTAAATTACGAAGGAAGCCCTGTCAGGAGAGACTTGTAAAGAGGAGAGAACGGTCATGAAGGACCGTGGCCGAAGAGGAAGTCCAACCCCAATGTTGGAACGTGGGAGTATGGATTGCCTGTCTGTTTGTCCTTCCTTGAGACCGTGATTGTAAAAGCCCTGGGTTATCAGCTGTAGGAAGGACTGGCCAGCTCTAGAGCCCTTGTTGGCATCTATCAAAGCCCCAAAGTGGTTCAAGGTTTCAGGCTTTGATAGACGCCAACAAGGGTAGCCATGGAGTGACGGCACATCCAGCAGGCCACATGCCTGTGAGGAAGTCCCAACACTGTCGCTCTGCTTCCCACACGGTTCCAGCTCACATCATAGGACAGCCTTGTGGAGACTCCACAGGAAGCAAGGGCCAGTGATACAGTGAATAGTGGTGACAAAATGGAAAAGCCAAGAAGTTTAGAATTCTTCTGCCCATTGTTCTATCTTAAGTAGAATAGAATAGTAGAATAAGGGTAATAATATATGAGAACAAAAATTTAACTCATAACTGTTTGTTGTGGCTTTTTCAAGCCCTCGTTCTTTGTAGGGTAGGGATGAAGGCACAAGGGCCGCCATTAGTGGCCTCATCCTTTTATCAGGGCCTCAGATATTCTTGGCTGGAGGGAAGCACACCAAAGTGTCTTGACTTTTGTTCTTGGTCTTTGAAGGGTAGACCTGGACCCCCAGGTGTTCCTGGAATGCCCGGGCCCGTTGGCTGGCCAGGCCCTGAAGGACCCAGGGTAAGTGTCATATGTGTTTGGGGCTCAAGTAGTATCAGAACATAATGGGATGAGGGCGACCTCCTGGCTCCTGGCCAACAGTCAAGTGCATCCCTTCCTCGAGAGGGAGAATGGCTGGAAGACAGCTCCCAGCCAGCAAGCATTTCTCCTTCCTGTGGCCTGCAGAGCCGGGTCAGTGTTGTGACTCTGCTTCTGTGAAGAAGCAGGAACTGAACTGTTCCCTTCCTTCCCATGAGCCCCATTTCCCTTTGGTCCGGAGAATTGGTGTTCTAGTCTCTGTGTCTGAGGTGACCCAAAGGGAACGTGGGTCTTGGGAGCTTTCACCTGTCATGCTGACCTGGCAGGCGGAAAGCTGAAGAGAATTGCAGGCTGGAGGATGCAGATCCTACACTGAGCAAGGGGTCACTCCCTCCTCAGAGATAGTATACAAGGCAAACACACCGCTACCTTCCCTTTGTTTATGTTCTTGCTGCCCATCCCAGAATGCAGGGTACAGAGGCCATGACTTAGAAGCCAGGGCAAGGCCAGTGAATATCCTCTGCTGCTCCACTTTCTTGGCTGTGTTGGTAATACAAAAGTCGCAAGGAGATTGATTTCTCTCTAAAGCCAAGGTATCCTGGCTGCAAAGACGGCGAGCTGGCTCACAGTTAGGAGCACTTTCATTCTTGCAGAGGTTTTGCGTTCAGTTCCCAACACTGTGGCTCACAACTATCTGCTGTAACTCCCATCCCAGGGGATCCGATGTCCTTTTCTGGTCTCTGTGGGGAGTAGGCATGCGGATGGTGCACCCATGTAAGTGGAGGCAACTTTCATTTCCCTGTATGGCCAGACATGGTGGCTCATACTTTCAAACTCAGTACTCACCATGACTTAAGAGGCCAGCCTGGACTACAAAGTAAGCTCCTGGTCAGGCTGAGCTCAAGCAAGAGCCTGCCACAAACAAACAAAATTCCCACTGTAGAGAGTTATGCTGTCTATCATGGTGGCCACACATAGCTGTGAGGCCCACGAGATGTGACTATTACAAACGAAGAACTGAAGGTTTCATTTTGACTACCCAAGTTTTAATTTATAAAACTATGCTCAGGGCTGGGGGGATATCAGCCAGTGGAGGCACTTGTCACCAAGCCTGGCAACCTGAGTTCCATCCCTGGAACCCACATGATGGAAGGAAAAACCAACTCAGAGAAGATGTCCTCTGACCTCCATATATGTGCTATGGGATGCAAGCGTGCGTGTGTGCACATACATGCACACACACACAGAGTAAATAAGATAATTTTAATATCCCATTATTTTATAATGACTATATGTTGAAGTGACAATTAGATTAAGTAAAAGGTAAAATACTTGCAAAATTAATTTCAACTTGTTTTGTTTTACATTCAAGGTAATATATAAAGACATTTGAAATTCAGAATATGCAGCCAGGCATGGTAGTACATTTCCTATAATCCTAGCACTCAGAGAGGGGAGGCAGAGGCATCCATTCAAGGTCATCTTCACCTAAATTTGAGACTACCCAGAGATACATGAGACCCTGCCTCAAAATAAAACAAAACAAACAAAACCCCACAGATTAGTCTTCTCAGTCAGCATAGAGTTGTCTTCACTAATTAGAGGTGGCATGCAGTTTTGTAGTATAGAGAATGCTTAGATTCAAATTTATTCTGAGGTGCAACAGAGCCCACCCTGCATGTTAGCCACCTCCATCCCATGTATGTGTTCAAAAGCTGGATTTCCCTCTGCTTGGCTGCAAACTGAGGGCGAGAGTGCAATGAGATGTCCAAAAGGCCCTCCCTATGCAAAGAGCAAATCAGACAAAGAATTTATATGGCGGCAAGCCTGTCTCCTGTGCCCTTTCCAAAAAAGGTCAAACACCACCATTTCCAGCTCCTTGGTGACCTGCACCACCTTGGGAGTTTTTGTTCTCTAACTAAACTTCAATGACCAGGGAGAAAGGTGGAAAGCGGAGCCCTTGGGAGGAGGCAAAGAGGCCTATGGGACCTCAAGTTCACCACCCAGCCCCAACACCCTGGTTCCATCCCAGCTTTGCCCACATCTCCTGGTTCTGCTTCTCCGAGAAATATCACTGTGGGCCTTCTTTTCCATCTTCTAATTGCCACAGGGTGAAAAAGGTGACCTGGGTATGATGGGCTTGCCGGGGTCAAGAGGACCAATGGGCTCTAAGGTCAGTGAGTGGTCCGGATGGACATTCCCAGGCCTTCTCACCGAGACTGAGGAACAACAGCTGTCTACAAAGATGGGGCGGGCAAGACTGGGGAACTGTTACCCTGAGCTGGGGAGTCAGTCCTTCAGGAGACATCATGCCCTGGGGTGCAGGGTTTTGCCTCTGGTTTGGGCACTCCAGGGCTGAGAAAAGCCATGATGTGTCTAGGCCTGGTAGACACACATCTTCGTGCTGAGTGCTGTATGGTCCTTGAAATGCACAGGGCAGTGTGGAGACATCAGCCTCACATTCAGGAAGTCCTCCACCCTGACAGCACACCCCGCTGTCGTGGGGATGATCATAAACAGTGTGCTTTCTTTTAGGGCTTCCCTGGATCCAGAGGGGAAAAGGTCAGTCTTCGTCTCTCGTGGCATCCCACATCCCAGTCTGGGCACAGCTCTGGAGTTGGTGGTGGGTGGAAGACAGGCCCAGCCCTCTCTTCAGATATCGACTGCAGCCATCATTCCTGGCTATTCCTCTGTCCTCCAGCATGCATGGGCTGAAAAAGAAGTGCTGGCCTTCTGAGGCAGGGCAGTTCTGGTAACTAGGACCTCCCAGCGAGGTGCCTGCACCCCACAGGGAGCAGGGGAACAAATGACAGCCGGCTAGGAGTTTAGTCTGTTAGCACAGGGTTGCTGGAAGAAGGGGACTTGTCCTTAGGCCAGGTTTCTACCACACGGCTTTCTCATCTACCAAAGCAAAAGAAACACCAACAGGCATCTGTGGACACATGTCCTTTGAGGTGAGAGGGCACCTCTGAGATCCAGAACTTTCTATGGGTTTCTCTTTATTAACTAACTAACATTAAGAGGTCTTAGGGGTCTATTTAGAAAGCATTTCATTACTGGCAAGCCACCAATTGTATGAGCAAAACTGAGGGTGTTGGCCTAGGGAGTTTATCAGTTTGAAATGCTCCTATCCCCCCCTTACCCCCAACACACAAGTGCAATATTAATTGACCCTCTCTTTCGGTTTCCTCCTAGGGATCCAAAGGAGAAAGGGGTGACTCGGGTCCCAAAGGAGAAAAGGTAATGGCAACTCCCTACAAGTGATATACTGCAGTAGAAGCGGGAGCTCCTGCTCCCCAGACCTGTGGACTGATGGGCAGTCATCTTGAAAATGGTGGACCCAATCTGTACACAGCCTCTTCCATGTGGCATTTTAGAACAGTGACGGCATTTGTTGTTCTTTTCGCAGGGTTTCCCTGGTTTTCCTGGAATGCTGGGGCAGAAAGTAAGTGTCTAGAAACAGAGACAACAGGCCTCAGGTCCTCCATACACAGCAAAAGGAGCCCTCTTCTTGGTCCTTTAGGCAGAAAAACTGATTTTAACTGTGGGAAGTTCTAGTTTGAGAAGGGGACTAGGTGTCTTACCTACTAGGGAAAGGGTAGCAGGGAGGTCTAAGACCAACCTCCAGTTTAGTGGGAAAGGCTAGCCCCCCCCCCCCACCGTGGAGAGAGGCCCCTCTTTGTTTCTCCCACCTCCTGCAGCTTAAAGATTTGAAAGTTGGAGGTTTTGAGAGGAGCAACTCCTATCTCCTATCTGAGCCACAATGGTCAAGACCCCTCTTATCTCTCAGATTCTGGAGCATAAAGGAGGGATTTGTTTGATTTATTTTCACTGCTGTCTAAACACACAATACAGACCTCAAGGGTGGCAAACACTGTTGGAGGGACATAGGATTTTAAATAGGTGACAACTATTTTATTTAAATAGTGACATATTAGTATCTCACTTGATACAGACTTAATTTTAAAAGAAGACAGTTTTGGGTGTAAAAGAGAGATTATTCAGTAAATAACCATGTGGTTATTATGTATTAATAAAACAAAATTTGTGAAGGTGGCAAGACTGACAATTTTGGGGAAACGTTGCTTAGGTTTAGGATCTGGAGTAAGGTTGGGTGTTGGATAAGGGAAGATGTCGTAGCATAAAGAGAGAGATGCATAAAAGACCATGCATAAATTTCCATGTTAGAACAGCTCCTAACCTAATGTGGAAACGGTGTCTCCTTACACTGTAAAACATGAACCGTAGAACACAGCCTCTGACATGGTAGTGCTGGGTCCTCAGCACTGTAAGTTCTGACCATGCTGAGCAGCTCCTGAGCTAAGGTGAAAATCCTGTGTCCTCACAATGGAAGGCATTGACACATAGAACCGCCCCTAAGCTGTCTTGGTTACTTTTCTATTGCTGTGATCAGACACCGTAACCAAGACAAGTTCCAAAAGAAAGTGTTTCAGAAGCTTAAGTCCATGATATGTGACGAAAGACATAGCATTGAATACCTGAGATCCACAAATAGTACAGGGGAGAGAGAGAGAGAGAGAGAGAGAGAGAGAGAGAGAGAGAGAGAGAGAGAGAGAGAATCTCTCACTAGACATGGCACAAGTCTTTCAAAACACTAAGCCCACTCCCAGTGACACACCTCTAACAAGACCACACCTCCTAATCCTTCCCAAACAATCCCACAAACGGTGACCAAGCATTTAATTCCGTGAGCCTATGGGGGTCATTCTGGTTCAATCCGCCACAAAAGCTAACACTTTATCTTGTAAGGCATTGACGTGGGAAATTGTCGTCTTCACCCAGGTTACAACCTGAAATTCTTCAGATGTGCAAACAAGTGTTTGCTTAGTACTTTAAACTCTTTTTAAGCATCCACTTTAAAGAACTACTTCCTAAAGTGAAGCATTTTATTGAGCGGTACCCAGCCATCAGAGCATGATGAAGTACTTTCAGTCAGCATGCAAGTCACTGTGAATTTATCCTTACCTTAACCTGTCAGATGCTCAGGTAAAGCAAACTTCGAAAGAGAAGTGAGTCCCTTAAGATATTTGGTCTAGGTTTCATTTCCTGCAACAGTAACCATTAAAGACTCATAAATCTCTGTGAAATTAAATATGACAGCTTCTCTGGCTTCTGCACCATTTACTAGACTTGGCAACAAAAGAGCTGTCTTCCCCTTCCATGGCAGGCTGTTTTAAGACAGAGCTGATATGATAACCGTAATTAGGTCTTAGGAGAGAAATTAGATCAAGAAATTACTGGCTGCTTCTAGTTGATAAAGAGAAGGGCCACACTTCCTTCTGATAATCTCTTTTTAAAAATTCACATACTTTTTTATGCTGATGTGTTCTTCTAGCCAAACAAGACATGCCCTGGGCCTCTTTAAACAGCCCAGGGAAATGGTGAGACATTGTCATGGCTCATTGACCCATCACACTGTCCTTACTGAGAATCCTGAACACGGTAGAAGGACTACATGGGCCTGTGAAAAATTCTTTCTCAAAGATTCATTTTTAATTGTTCATACTGTGTGTGTCTATGTGTAGGCACGTACACATAAATGTCATTGTCCATGGAGGTTGGAGGCCTTGGATCCTCCTGTGTTACAGGGAGAGGGCCGCTTGTTTTTCCTGGCCGCCCAGCTAGCTTACACCCGAAATGACCACACAGAAACTGTGTTAATTAAAACACTGCTTGGCCTTTAGCTCCAACTTCTTATTGGCTAACTCTTACATCTTAGTTTAACCCATCTCCTTTAATCTGTGTATCCCCACGTGGCAATGGCTTACCGGAGATTCTAACCGGTGTCCATCTCTGGTGAAGGCTCCACGGCTTCTCTGACTCTGCTCTTCTTCCTCCCAGCATTCAGTTCTGTTTTCTCTGCCTACCTAAGTTCTGCCCTATCAACTAGGCCAAGGCAGTTTATTTATTAACCAATGAAAGCAACACACAAACAGAAGGACCTCCTGAAGTTGGAAGTTTTCTGAGAATTCACAACTGCCTAAAGTTGCAGGCAGTGGGAGCCACCTGATAAAGGTGCTAGGAACCAAACTTGGGTTCTCTGGACAACCAGTGAGCCTTCTCAGCTGCTGAGTGAATTGGGGAAAGAGAGGGTCATCCTGTGCTGGGCTGAAAGGGCAGTTTGGGCTTGATCCTCACCACCTATGGGTATCCACTAGAATTTTCTGTTGTGTTAGAGAACCTGAAAAGGAGGCTGGGTGTCTGTTGCTGTCTCTGAGCGGCTAGGGAGGTCTGCCATGGGCACTGGCTACTGATAAGTAGAAACTCCCTGGTAGCAAATGCTGCACTGGCCATGCTGGTGGTACGGGTTGGGATGCAGGGCAATTGCTTGAAATAGAAATAATGCTCCCATGTGTCCAGAATCCCCAGAAGCAGTGAGTGGGATGGGAATCCTATACGGCAAGCAGGCAAAACTAAGGAAAAACTAAGATGGATGAAAAAATGTATTTTTTATGTGTGTGTTATACATGCCAAAGTACACATATGGAGGTCAGAGTTCAACTACTGGAAGTTGTTTCTTCATTTCTAAGTCTGTAGACTCAGCAGCAAGCACCTTTACCCACATAGCTATTTTGACAGTCTGACAAATAAGTTTTGCAAAAGGTTGTCCTTGAACTATGAAAAATTATTTTTAATTAGGAATATAATTTACATTGTTTTCCATATTTTAATAATATTTTAAAAATTTATTTATTAATTATGTGTACAGTGTTCTGCCAGCATGCCAGAAGAGGGCACCAGACCTCATTATAGATGGTTGTGAGCCACCATGTGGCTGTTGGGAACTGAACTCAGGACTGAAAGAGCAGCCAATGCCCTTCACTGCTGAGCCATCTCTTGGGCCCTCAATAATATTTTTATGGTGATTATTTGAACACATGCTTGAAACATCTTTCCTCAGAGAAAGGGTTTTCATCTGAGCTGGGAACAATGGTACATTTCTGTGACTCCAGCATGAGGGAGGCGGAGGTAAAAGAATCCACCTTCAGTTTCATCTGCAGTGACACAGAGAGGTAGAGGACAGCTCGAGCTACAGGAGACCCTATCTCAAAAAGAGAGTTGTCTGAGCGGATAGAAGTGAGCTGGAACTCAAAATAATATCTACTAAAGTGTGGAGAACTGCTGGGCAGAGTGGCACGCACCTTTTATTCCAGCACTCAGGAGGCAGAGGTAGTTGGATGTCTAGGAGTTCTAGGCTAGCCTGGCCTACATATCAAATTGCAGGCCAGTCAGGGCAACATAGTGAGACCCCATTTCAAAAAAANAAAAAAAAAAAAAAAAAAAAAAAAGGAAAACTACATAATCCTAAATAAATCCTATAAAATGCCAAGCATTACAGTGGACAAGACTGTTCTCAAACATAAAAACAAAACAAAACAAAAAAACTCATATGTGTGAGTTTGCACTTAAACCAAAACATAATAAATCAAACTTTCAGCTAGGCAAGAAAGCATCTTTGCAGCCTGTAGTGACCCAGGCACAGGTGTGACTAAAATGCAGAAGCCAGCGCTGACCGCTGTGGATGGGGTTGTCTCTCTCATTTGACCACCAGAGCACCAACTGCATGCAGCACTAAGTCACACCTGGGGAGCACCTTCTTTCTTTCCTGTTTCCTGGATATGAGCTCAGGTCAGTCTCCCATGCTCCCAGGACAGTCTACCTGGAAGAGACTTGAGATGAAGACTAGCAGGCCCTGGAGGCCAGGGATTGGAGAGACCAGCATAGATGTATCCACTCTTTCTCTTGCTTCTCTCTCTTCTCCCTAGGGTGAAATGGGTCCAAAGGGAGAGCCCGGGCTAGCAGGACACCGAGGCCCCACCGGGAGACCAGGAAAACGAGGCAAGCAGGTAAGGATTCCACTGAGGGCACAGCTTCGGGAAGTGTGTGGAAAAACCTGCAGCAGTCAACTAGGGTCATCCTACAGCCTTGGATTCAGGCTTCCTCCAGGCTAGTGGACAGAGCAGTCTCACTACTGACCTTCAGGCTTCTCTCAGCTAAACCACGGTTCAAGGCTACAGGCTCCACTCAAGAGCCGAAGCAGGAGTGGCCCTAGTTCATAGGAATGCACACATCTTAACCAAGGTAACTGGGGACGGTCATTATGCAGGCAACCTGCTTCTTGCCTCAGCATACTAGACATAAGTTGAGTTCTAGAGAACAGCCTAGTCATGTCCGTGTGGCTGACAGGTCTTTTGAACCTTAGAGACAGTTTTCACTACACAACCCCGCCCCCCATTTGGAAGTGGTTCTCTTCGTTGGGTTTGTTAAGAGCTTAGAGAAATTGTTTGTTCTGAGACCCCTGGTTAGCAGGGTAAGCCAGGTTATGAACTGGGAAAGGAAGAAGGCAGGCTCAATTTTCTGGACTGGTTTTGAGACTGCACTAAGTGCCCACAGGAAAAAATAGCATTTTCTAAAGTGGACAGATAAGTCCCAGAGATGCCATTTACCTTTTGTTTTTGTTTTTTTATTTTAAGAAAGGATCTCACTATTTAAGCAAGATGACTTTGGTCTTACTACATATGTATTATTATTTATAATTATTAGCAGCAGTTTGCTATTTATCATAGATACTTGAAACCCAGCTTTATTCAGGGACTGGGGCAGTGGCTCAGTGGGTAAAATGCTTCCTGTGTAAGCATGAGGGCTGAGTTGGTCCCCAGCATTCATGTGACAAAGCCCATGTGGCAGCACACACCTGTAATCCTAGCTCCAGGGAGGCAGAGTCCCAGCCACTACAGCGGAATCCATGACCTTATCTCAAATAAGGTGGAGAGAAATTGAGGAAGATACCCGATACTGACCCTTGACCTCTGCTTGCACACCCACAAACACAAGACCATATTTAAATAACCTCAATTTTTGAAAATTAGTACTTATTAATATGTAAACTTATGTGTTCTTCTTAATGTTAATGATTTTTAGTATGTTAGAAGAAAAATGTCATTTTGAGTATGGACATAAAACATTTTAATTGTTTTTATATATTATGGGGTACACTGTGATATGTATATATATATATCACATATATACACATATACATACATCGTGGAGTGGCTGAGTCAGGTCAATCGATATGTCCATCACTTCAGACATTTCCTATTTCTTTGTCATGAGAATATTTGAAATCTGTCCTGCTGGTTGGCTTCTCATCTCCATTCTGTTGGTGGTTAGGATTTGGTCTGGGATTCTCTCCATCCAGGAATCTTTCTCTCACTTTAAAAGTTGTTGATTCATTTACTGTTGTTGCTTTGAGTGAGAGTCTCGTGTAGCTCAGGCTGGCCTCCAACTCTGGCTGCTCGTGCTTCCCCCTCAGACATGCTGAGGTTGCGTGTAGTTCAGAAGTCTTTCTTCTCATATTTTAAATTATTTCTTTCATGTCCACTAAGCAGTTATTTTGTCCTTCACTTACAGCTTAAAAGTCACAGTGTGTTCAGCTTCTTGTTGTAGACACTCATGCATCCTCCTAAAAATCCCTGAATTGTGTTTTCATAAGCAAGGAAGCAACAGATTGCTGGGAGGAGAGAGCAGGAACTCTCTGTCCCACGCGTGGTTTCCAAAGCTGTATGATTGGCTAGGGATGACCTTCGAGATGCAGGGCCTTGCCTCACACACTCTGCAGGACCTTTCTACTCTACAGACACCTCGACTGTTATTGGAAACCTGCCCTGGAGCCTCCTTCATACCTCGAATTCACTCCTAGTGTAGTCGTATATCCAGAAGGACGACGATTAATAGGTTAGTCCCAAACTAGGAAACAAAACTCTAGGAAGAATCCAGAGTACAGTTTCCAACACAGGAGTTCAGAGATCATTTAACCCAATCTCTCCCATTTATTCACACGTTAACTAGGGGCCAGGGAAGCGGAGCTGGCGAGACTCGTGAGCTGAGTCATCTTCAAGGCCAGTGTTACAATGTTGGGCACGTGTTCCTCCCACTTGCTCTGGCTCTTTATCATGGTCCCGCTTCCAGACTGTCGGCAGGCAGGACCAGGAAAGCTGTTGTTGACCTGATCATCAACACCTTCAGGAGATGGGGATATGGATTGGTGGCAGAGGATATACCCAGTGTGCAAAAGGCCCCAAGTTCAAATCCTAGAACCACAAAAAAAGAAAAAAAAAACTTTAGTTAAGGAGACAGAATACTTCAAGAGAAACCTCCTGAGCTCACAGAAGGTAAGGGATAGAGATTCCTTTCTGGACAGTTGGGTTCAGTGGAACCTGCGGTAAAGACTTGGCAACGACCAGTGAAGCTGAAGACTCCTCTACTCCTGGTGTCAGGGTCGAGGAGTGTGTCCAGCTCCTTCAAGCCATGCACTTCCTGTGTGCAGAGCCAGCTGGCCAGGGTGTTAGGAAAACAAGCTTCAATGGTTATATTAAGCTGGCGTGACTTCCTTTGCCATTCTGAGGCCCATCTTGGTTATCGTGTGGAATGCTTCAGCCTGGCCTGAGGATTAACAGCCTCCTCTGTGTGGACAGAATTGGAAACAAACTAACCTCATGGCTTCCCTGGGACAAGTTTAGGAACTCCTCTGGTATTACAGAGTAGGTCCCCAGGGCCATGTTGTTAGGACAACACCTCACTGAGCCAGTGGTGTGATTGGAAATGAAGTATCTACAGGTCTGACTGTCTTTAAGCAATCAGGACTCCTTAGGCATTAAGGATATTTGACATGGCCATCCAATGACCATTGTGGTTGATCTAAATGGTCTAGATGCTGAGAGGGAGCTCACGGTTTCATGTGTGTCTTCCAAACTTGTCTGATTGGCTAGCGATGACCTTCTCCAATAGAGGGCTATTCTTTGACTAACAGTATTCAAGTAGTTGTTCTCTCCAGTTAGAACCTCCAAAAAGCTCTCAGGAGATTAGAATTTCTTCTACCATGGGAGAAGATGAAGCCTGGCCAGTCACTAGGACTATCAGCGTGTCTCCCCGAACACACTTCGTTCTTCACAGACCATAGTTTCACTTCTGCTGTCTTTGTTACCCTCACAATGCACTCAGGTGGAAATGTATGTACTGGCCCTACTTTAGATAAGGTAAAACCAAGTCACAAAGCAATGCCATGAGTTATCCAGGGCCTCACTGCGAAGGTAAAATACCTTGACTAACAGATCATCAAAAATCTGTCCCCATGTGCTACCAACTTCTTTCTCCTCCTTCATTTGGTCTGGGAGGAGAAGATGAACATGGTAGATTCTAGCCCACATGGAGCTTATGTCATGGGGAGACAGTGATGACTGACCACATTAGAATCTATGACCAATGATCTGAAATAAATAGGAAGAGCCATCGTGTGTGTGTGAGTGTGTGTGTGTGTGTGTGTGTGTGTGTGTGTGCACGCACATGTGCATGTGTGGGTGTGCTTGGCTTCTGAGGCTGTTTCACACTGTAGTTCTGGGTAGCTTATAATTAGAACTCACCGTGTATCCCAGGATGACTTTAAACTAGCAGCAATCCCCCTGTCTCAGTCTGTTGAGTATTGCAATGACCGACTTGCACCTCAATCCCCAGCATGAAAAGGTAAAGTTCTGAGAGAATATGGAGAGAACGCCAGTGCAGCCTGAGGAGATCAAGGGAGACCTTGCTGCTTAGACATCACAGCTGAAAACTGAAGCCGAGAGTCATAAGGAGGAGTTTGAGGCAGGGAGATAATATTTTTTTTAGGAAGTGGGATAGGAATCATGGTACTTTTGAATAAAAACAAAAGCAAACAAACAAACTCTGGCCAGCATGGTGGTACACGCTCTGACTATCTCAACACTTGGGAGGCAGAGGCTGGTAGATCTCTGTGAGTTTGAGGCCACCCTGGTCTCCAAAGTTCCAGTGCAGCCAGAGCTGTTACACAAGAGAAACTCTGTCTCAAATAACAACATCAAAAACAAAACACAAAAGACAAAAGCTCTGACTAAAGGCTAGAGAGCAGGGGTATGGCCAGCTTCTTGGGTTCAGTAAGGACCTGGGTCTCTACCAAGAGAACAATGAGAAGTCTGTGGTCGAAAGAGCTCTTCCGACAGAATGAAAGTAACGCTAACAGGTAAACGAAAGCTTAAATTATAGATCTACCTCAGCTGCCTCAACGTGAGGGTACTGCACAAATACCCTGAGACACCATTTCTAACTCATGCCAAGGGAGGAGATGGGTTGGTTCTGTTGTTCTGTGCCTTGTTTCTGGCACAGAGCCAAACTTAATGAGGTCTTCAAAGTTGCATAGATCACTAGCTCCGTCCCTCTCAGAAGCTGGATGCTGGATACCAGTTCTATCCCACCTAGAGTCCTTGCTTGTCTAAGTTATGTGGTTTCTGACTTAGAGGCAAGAGAGAAGGAACTTCGTTATGCCATGGTATCACAACAGGCTCTATCTTTCTATTTGTCAGGGTCAGAAGGGAGACAGTGGAATCATGGGCCCACCAGGCAAGCCTGGGCCTCCAGGTCAACCTGGTCGTCAAGGTCCTCCAGGGCCTCCAGGTGCCCCATCTGCAGGTAAGACCTCCAGTGCTCCATCTGCAGCTTCACTTAACCCACACAGCTGATCTCCTAGCTAGGTCCCTCAGAGGCCACAAGGAGAAACTGGCAGAGCTCCGCTTTGTGTCTCTTGTTAGAAACTGACAGGGGCTCTTTCACAAACCTACATAATTTCTCCATGACTTGGCTCACTTTGTTTTAACATTTGAGATAACACACGGAGGAAATAGAGAGGGGGTAATTTACATTGGTGATATCATTTATCCTTAAGGTGAAAAGGGTATCTATCTCATCAACTGAAATCTTTTGGGGAAAAGCATGTTTCATGGCTCCAAACATTTTGTTAAACCCAGAAGTAAGTTTGTTACATTTCCAGAAGTAAGGAAACCATCACAGATTTTTCTGTCTTATACAGTGTGAGGAAAGATTGTTTCTTTACATAGAAGATAATGGAAGGAACTGCTAAAAAGAAACTAAGAGTCGATCATTGAAGATGAACTATGTCTGTTTCTACTTGTTTTACTATTTGAGTAGTTAAGCCCTTTATTTTATTCCTTTATCAGCTCAATGTAAGGCCTTTTAGAGCTCATTGCCTGTATAAAGACAGCTTCCCTGGGGCTGTCCTCAGCTAGACAAGAGAAACCACAAATTTATTACAACTTTTTTCTTAAAAGTGGAAACATTTTAACATTTTAAAATTCCACAATGTGTTTCTCATACTGTGTTTATGGGAACATGCTTGCCACCACATAGTGAGGTTGTCACAAAGAGTCCTATTCTGTTAGATCCCTTACACAAAAGAAAGTTTGCTCTGGTCCTCCGTCCTGTCAAGATGCCATGAAGAATCAATTGGCTTTTTTTCTTTCGTACCCTTTTAACGGCCACAGAAGGGCTAAGTGAAGGTCCTGGTAAAGTATGGCAAGAAAACATTGAGGAAGGGCCTTCCTGCTTTGACCTACTCCTTATCATCCTCCTATTTATGTTAGTAGCCCATGGATGCCCAGAGGAATCATTAGCTCCGGCTGTGTGCTTGGGCATCACAGCATTCTAAGACTCAAATTATTAGACAGGGACTGAGAGCAGGGAGGAAGCCTGGTTCAGTCTGCGGAAAGAACTTCCTTGGGTCTTGAAATGTGCTTTTGTGTAAACCGGCCCCATCTGACTTTAGGTTTCTTCCTGGGCCTGGGATTCTGTGAGCAGGTTCCCACAAAGCCACATTCGTGCCATCAGTTTTGAGAATTGGAACCAAAGGACTTGGCAGCCAGCACAGTTTTTATTTATTTATTTGTTTGTTTGTTTGTTTGTTTATTAAAGATTTCTGTCACTTCCCCACCGCCGCCTCCCATTTCCCTCCCCCTCCCCCAATCAAGTCCCCCTCCCTCATCAGCCCAAAGAGCAATCAGGGTTCCCTGCCCTGTGGGAAGTCCAAGGACCACCCACCTCCATCCAGGTCTAGTAAGGTGAGCATTCAAACTGCCTAGGCTCCCACAAAGCCAATACGTGCAGTAGGATCAAAGAACCCATTGCCATTGTTCTTGAGTTCTCAGTAGTCCTCATTGTCCGCTATGTTCAGCGAGTCCGGTTTTATCCCAGGCTTTTTCCAGCTGGCCTTAGTGAGTTCCCGATAGGACATCCCCATTGTCTCAATGTGTGGGTGCACCCCTTGCGGTCCTGAGTTCCTTGCTCGTGCTCTCTCTCCTTCTTCTCCTGATTTGGACCTTGAGGTTTCAGTCCGGTGCTCCAATGTGGGTCTCTGTCTCCTTTCATCACCTGATGAAGGTTAATATTCAGGAGGATGCCTATATGTTTTTCTTTGGGTTCTCCTTATTTAGCTTCTCTAGGATCACTAATTATAGGCCCAATGTCCTTTGTTTATCAGCCAGCACAGTTTTGTTTTCCTTCTCTGACCTTCTAGTCCCATCTCTCCCAGATGGATATGCCCATTTCCCGGTACAACCTGTCCTCTCCCAACCAGATACACTGTCTTTTCTGTCATGGCTCTGCCATTAGGTTATTAAATTTTGGTGTGTGTGTGTGTGTGTGTGTGTGTGTGTGTGTGTGTCTGACTGGGTGGTGAGCACAGGGCTTCATACACGCTAGACAAACATGCTACCCCCAGTTCACTCTTGGCTGCAGCCTCGTGGGGTGGTAGGCCATCTCTGACTGATGCCTCTTTCTACAGCTTCTCTTTAAATCACTTCCTTTCTGAGGAGCCGCTGAGAGGAAGGGGGCTGAAGAGGACAAAGAGGCGAAATAGGGCAGTCTCCCTGCGCTTTGTGAAAATCTGGGGGCTGGGACCATAGGTAGAGTTAGAGCAGGCCCCTGGAGTGACTCCCCACAATTTTAATCCGATAAAAGCCCCAAACCTACCAGATATTGTGGCATAGGCAGTATACATTTAAGAGGGTGGGAAGTTCTGAGGTTAGCCTGGAGAAAACAGGCCAAACAAAAAGCCTCAAAGTTATTCAAGAAGAAACTGTGTCCCCTGAGCCTTCCTCAGTTCCTTCTTGGGATATCCTTGGGCTCCAGAGAACACATCAAAGAACTCTGGTCTATCCCAGTCCTTACTTTAGATTTAAGAACCTTGAGCTTCCTTAAGGATGCCCTGGTCCAGCTGTCTAGTGGTCACCGTGGTTCAGATCCCACGTGTGGCGCCTAAAACCTTCACACAGCCTTTTGATTGTCATTCTAGTTCCTCTGCCTTCTCATACTATCCTCTCTGAACCCACAAGAAGCTCCTGGGCAAAGATGGAAAGCCAGGTCCTCTGTTGGAGAAGGGCTACTTGTTGGTTCCAGGCGCTTAGCCCCGAAACAATCATATAGAAACTGTATTAATTAAATCACTGCTTAGCCCATTAGCTCTATCTTTTTATTGGCTAACTCTTACATATTAATTTAACCCAGTTCTATTCATCTGTGTATCACCACGTGGCTGTGGCTTACGGGCTAAAACTCCTGCAGGGCTACACTGCGTCTCTCTGACTCCACCCTTCTTTTTCCCAGCATACAGACTAGCTTTCCCCACCTAGCTCTGTCCCTCCCTGCCACAGGCTCAAAGCAGTTCTCTAGTCATTAACCAATAAAAGCAACACATAGACAGAAGGACCTCCCACACCAGTCCTCTGACAACAGGGCATGGCAGCTAATCTAGGTGAAGCAGTTCAAGTTGTTTTGCCCTTCAGAGCATCATGGCAGGAAGCTGGCAGGGTGATGGATGTCCTCTGCCAACTGGGAGGAAGCGGAAGCAGAGGGGAAACTGCAGCGGTGGCAGCAGGCTCCTTGCCACGTCCTGTTGGGAAGCTGCCTTAGGTCTAGTTCTCAGCACCAGGGGGCCAGCAGGTGCCGGAGGGGTTGGAGAGGGTAGGAACTTTTTAATCTCTCAAGTTACAGGGACAGGGTGGGTGGGGGTGAGGAAGAAATAAAGGTAAATTTAAGATGTAATTTGAAGTAATACAATTATGGATTTGGATAATTCTTTCCTGTACCCAGACAGGGGATAAACAAATCCGTATGGTGCCTGGGATTGACAGCTCCCCGCGAGCACCCATTCCTTGGATCTGTCCGTCTGAATGGGGCAGAGCTAGGTGAAACGTGAGTACAGACCTCAGTCACACCACCAATTAACTACGTATCTGGAAAGGTCTGACTTTTTCTGAGACTATGGTTCTGGGGTCATAGAACATTCCAAAAGGCTGCTCTGATATCACTCTCATACTTCTTCATGTCACAGGCCTGCTTCTCCAGGCAGAAACTCCTCACATTCCCAGGGTTTTTTTTTTTTTACCCAGGATGTTCCAGAGCTGGTGGTATCTTTGTCTCTTTGGAAGTCTTCTGAAAAGTCAGAACCCAAGACAGGAGCTTTCCCCCACATAATTCTATTCCTATTCCTTGTTAGAGCTGTAACTTGACATCTGCTGTTGGACCAGTTTATAAGCTGGCTCAGGAAGGCTTAAGAAGGTGGGATCATTCCACCGGGTCCTCGTCCCTGCGGATCCTGATCAGATATTCCTCCCTGGGTTCTCTTGATTTCCTGCTGTCCTAGCATTAGAGAGTCTGTTCCCAGTCCCTGGCTGCCTCCACTGACTGCCTATGACTAAAGATAGGCTGGTTTCCAATGGTCCTCACTGTCCCTGGAGGAGGGGCATATGCTCATCCGTCTTTCATCCTGCCCTGTCCTCTGCTTCTTCATCCCGCCAGACAGTCGTGACTTCCAGTCTTTCACAAAGACCTTTGATCTCAATTAATCATTCAATCATTGACCAGACACTCTGTTCCAAATGTGTCAAGTCTTGGCCTGCGGGAAGAGAGACCTTGATGTTGTACTCTGTATGTAGGCTTGTGAGCAGACGGGAGTACCGCGAAGAGCAGATGTAAGTGAAGGTAGCAAAGCCGATGAGGCACCATGGGAGGATGTGGGAAGGCTTCCAGAGGAGCTGAGGGTTGTGCTGAGAACAGAAGGATCCTAACAGGCCCTTGGTGAAGGGAGGGATGGAGGCAGATGATTTGATGGGAGATATTCTATCCACGTACCATTTCCCTAGTGGTTCCTCATCTTGATGTACAATGGAAACATCTTGAACACTTTTAAAATTATGGATGCCCAAAGGCTGAGTGTGGCTCAGTGGCAGAGCACTTATCTAGCATATTCAAAAGCCTGGGTTCCATCCACAGCACTGAAAAGGGGAAACAAACAAACTTATGGATGTCTGGGTTTTTTTTTTTTTTTCTCATTTCTTCCAGGAGAAATGAGGAAGAAACACACACCCAAAATTTCTTCGTAAACATCCTCTATATATATATAAGTAAATATCCTCTGTATAAGAAACTTAAAATAGCAGTGCAAGTGCCAGGCAGTGGTAGCGCACGCCTTTAATCCCAGCACTCGGGAGGCAGAGGCAGGTGGATCTCTGGGAGTTCGAGGCCAGCCTGGTCTACAAGAGCTAGTCCCAGGACAGGCACCAAAGCTACAGAGAAACCCTGTCTCGAAAAACCAAAAATAAATAAATAAATAAATAAATAAATAAATAAATAAATAATAAATACAAATAAGAAATACAGTGGAAGTTGGAATGGCAAAGTGGCTCGGTGGGTAAAGGCTCTTGTTGCCATGCCCAGTGGCCTGAGTTCTACGTACAGGTCTCACGTGATGGAAGGAGAAGACTAACTCCCCAAAGTTGTCCTTCAGCCTCCATCCTGTTTCCTTGTGTGTGCAGCCTCCCTCCTTGCCCACATAGATGACCAAATCCATTTTCTTAAAATCCAGTGTAAGTTTTCCATCCACTGCATATCCATCTGCAAGAAGACCCTTTAACTAATGCTCACAAACGGGGCATGTCCTCCCACAAGGACATCTAGAGCTAATCAACAGGTGATCTATTCATTTGGATCAGCCTCCGGGTGTCACTGTCAAGACTGCAGGTCCCGCAAAACCCTCATCTTTCACACAGGTTGTTAGAAATGAGCTCAGGCTGCTGCAGGACCCGCTGTCTGTGTGTGTCTTCAAGGCAGGGCTGAGGGGGACCGTTGTTTGAGGGTTGTTCTTTCCTGATTTCCCCCGCCATGGCTGGGCCTCTCCCTCTGCCCCTCATCTGCCCTGTTTTCACTTCTCTGCCTTGCACAGCCGCTCCCGTCTCCTGACTTGCTTGGCCCTAGTAACACAGCAGTCTGTTGCTTCCTTTGCTTCCTAGGACAACTTGTGATGGGACTCAAAGGAGAAAGAGGATATCCAGGGCCTCCAGGAAGATGTCTTTGTGGACCCCCAGTGAATGGGAATAACCCCTCCCATGGGCCTGGCTCCCCCCGAGTTCCCGCGGTAAGACTGTTCAGGGCATGGTACGGGTGGGTACTGATCGTCCTTTCTACCTGAGCATAGGCCCTCATGATGTCCTTTAGGAAAGTCTACTTCCCCTTGATACAATGACAATTCATTCACAATGGGAAATTGCAAAGTGGGGACCAAATCAAAAGGAAAGAAGCAGAATGCTAACTTGGAAGTGAAGCTACGGAGGGACATTTCCTCCACGTTTTACTCTCAAGACTAACTCTGATGTGGTTGAGGTTATATTGTCTGAAAGAGTTCAGTTTCAGCTGAGGATGCAGCCCAATAGTTAGTGCTTGCCTCGTGTTCCCTGAACACAATGCATAGTGCTGCTTTTAATGGTCATCATTGCATATCGTTGTTGAAGAGTGGTTTCCAGATGTCAAAGTTTACTTACATGGGTAGCATCATCTTTTAAGCCTTGGTAACATGTCAAAAAACATTTAAATATGTTAAGTCAAAGTGGATAGTTTTGTTTTAAACTTGGGCTTTCTGAACTGGATTGGCATAGTGCAGGCCTCTTGGCAGTCCTCCCTATGAGGAGTAGACAGGCTGACCGCTCATCGGGCTCTCCCTGTCTTGCGGGGACGTTTTTCTGGATGCTAAACACTACGTCCTCTGGCAGATTTTTGTGGTCAACAACCAGGAGGAGCTTGAGAAACTGAACACTCAGAACGCCATTGCCTTTCGCAGAGACCAGCGATCATTGTACTTCAAAGACAGCCTTGGCTGGCTCCCTATCCAGGTACTCTAGGGCAGGCTCATTGGGATGTGACCCTCTTGTCCTCAGTCAGGAAAGGGACACTCCCATTAGAAGGGAGGAAAATAGACAACTGAGTCCGGACTGTGCTTCTGCTGTGTCTGCAGGAGAGCTACATAGCCTCCCTCCCTTGTCTTCTGAGCAGCCGCCCTCAGCCCCATTCCCAAACAGAAGCTCATCTTGAGTCAGGATTTCCTCTGGGAAAGATGGTCCCTCTCATCCCCCTCTTTGAAGGAAGCTAAGGGATGCCTCCCAGACCCAGAGCATCTGTTTCCAGTGCCAGAGACCCGCCTGCTCTGTGGCTTCCTGGACATGCCACCTTCATTAATGGCTGTGTGTTTCTTTGCCCAGCTGACCCCTTTCTACCCTGTGGGTTACACCATAAACCAACACGGCACCTGTGGGGATGGCGTCCTGCAGCCTGGGGAGGAGTGTGATGATGGTAATCATGACGTGGGGGACGACTGCATTGGTGAGTGAGGCCCAGCCTGGGAGTCCTCAGTTGTGAGGGGGTGGAGTAAGCCCTGGCTGCCAGCTTTGATGGTCCCAGACAAAGGCAAGGGACAACGTACCAGGGGCTGCTTTGCAGAGCCTCTTCCCAAATCCAGGCTGCATGCTAATTCTTCCCTCACTCAAGCCTGTCAACAGGGGAGGTGGTCAGGATCATGTCTCCCAGAGAGGCCTTCCTTGTTGCTGGTGCTCTTTCGTCCAAGCCCTACTTCTTCGCAAGCTCAGAAGAGAAAGGTGATAGCCGTCACTCAGCACCCTAGAAAGGCAGAAAGAGGGGCCGAGACTGGATCAGAACTCCTTTCCTAGGCGGACACTGGGTGCCAGCCCTGTCAGTAGAGACGTGGGCCTCCAGTACCCCCTTCCCCTCCTGTGATAGTGCCAGGACTTGGCTCTAGAGCGTTCACCATGATCCTCTTTTGGTTTGGGGGTTGTTGACATGTGAAGGTTGTCTGGATGTGACTTGGGGTCAGTGTATCCATCCATGACTCGGTTTGCTCAGGTCAAAACTGGGGAAGTGTGGGCCCCTTTGTTGTCCTTGTCCTCTAGAAGCTCAGAGGACAGATGACTGACCCAAGATGAAGTGGGCTAGGCAGGGTGGCACATTTGGGAAGCTGAGGCAGGAAGATCTCCAAGAGTAAAAAGGCCAGTATGACCTACATAACAAGACTCTGTATAGGTGGATGGATGGATTATGGATGGATGGATGGATCGATGAATGGATGGATGGATTATGGATGGATGGATGGATGGATGGATGGATGGATGGATGGATGGAGTACTACTCCTTGTGTGAAGTTAGAAGCCTTTGTGGAGGTCACATATCCCCTCAGGTACGCAGGTTGAGCCTAGTAGTAGTAGGCCTCGCCAGGACTCTGTGCTGACAGATGCTTCACCAAGGAGGTCCCCTAAGCCTTAGCTTACCAATATTCCATAGTAGTACTATGAAGGGGAGGCAGTGTCCTCTTTCCAGTTTTGCAGATGACATGAAGCCTCTTGTCACCCGACAAGGAAATGGCAGGCATGTTATCAAGAGCCCTGGTGTGTCAGTGTGGCACTTGGTCCTGCATGGGTCTGAAGCCTTCCATCAGTTGGTTCTTAAGTGGGTAGAACGCTGTGGGGTCTCTACTGGGCAACACTGTCCTTACTGTGTGAGCAAGCCTGTTCCACCCTGCCCCTTCTCGGGGTTATACTTTTTGTTCCCCTAGACTGTCACCGGGCCTACTGCGGAGACGGTTACCGGCACCAGGGCGTGGAGGACTGTGACGGCTCTGACTTTGGCTACCTGACATGCGAGACCTATCTCCCTGGGTAAGGAGGCCTCCCACACTCTTCCAGCATCTCCCATTTCCTGTTTTCCTTCCCAGATGTTAATGGCTTTTTTTGTTTCTAGACAGTGAGGTAGGATAGAATAGAATCCATGCTCCCCTAGTGAGAACATAATAGTCACAGTGCCCAAGAGGCCGCAGTCAGAGCAGCCACAGCCCTCAGCATCACCCTGTGCAGGGAGAAGAGCAGGCTTTGGGGCTGCTAGCCCTGGAGGTACTGGGCTGTGATCTGGGAGGAAGTAGAGAGGAGGGCAGGGGGCAGCATGAGTCCATTTCACAACCCTGTCTGTCATCTACCCAGCTCAGTTCCCGGAGCACAAGAACCACCTCCCACAAATCTAAACGAGATTATTCCAGAATTAATATGTGACGTTAGAGGCTTAAAATATTACTCAGTAAGCCCAGATTTAATGCCCAGTTCCACAAGAAAGGAAAAGGAGAGCCAGCAAGATGATGCAGTGGGTAAAGGCACTTACCATGCTGGCCTGGTGACCTGAGTTTCATCCCCAGAACCTGTGGACAGGTGGAAGGAGAGAACTGACCCCTCAGATATGTACTCTGACCCCCACATATACACCATGACACACTCCTAACCCCATCACTCACTCACACACACGCGTGCGTGCGCGCGCGCACACACACATACACACACACAGACATGCACATAATTTTTAAAATATAAAGGGAAAAATATCTAATCTTGCCAGTTCATAGTCTCTCCAAGAAAATATCCCCTTCAAGGACCTCTTTCACTACCTTGGAGAATGCTCAGTGGGTATTCAAATGTGTTAGTGTCCTTGCTTCCCTAGTGGTATTTTCAAGCTTCCTATAGACCCCAGCCCCCTGTCCAGAATGCGACTTTCCCCAGTACAGAATAATGCTAACTTGTTCCATGCTCCCCTGCCCTTCACAGACTCAGCTGCACGGTGCTCTAGGGAGCCACTCCTCTGCTGCCTTTTAGATCACTGAGTCAGTCTCTCCTGAGAACGATGTCCTCAGCTTTGGCTCCCATCCCTTACCTTCCAGCAGACCTTCAGCAGCTTGGGGAATAGACATCACCTGTCCCACAGTCACCTCCATCCTGTACTCTCGGGGGTCTTCTCAACACTCATCCTCCAACACACATTAGCATATGCAACCTGGCTGAAGGAGTGGCACACCTCCAGCCACCCCCAGACTCCAACCCCGGGTAGGCTCGGCCACAGTCTCACTACATATGTGTGCACTGCCCCACGCCTGAGCTAGGGAAGGCTCCTAACAATCACCTACTGGATCTGGCCTGACTGAGCTGCTAACCAGCTCTATAGAGTCATATAGTGTCAGCATCTGACTCAGTTAATAGCCGAATGGAGCCTGGGCCTTATTTACTAGCTCGCCAGAGCTGCTCCTCTGATCTCTTGAGCTTCCAAGATATGGTTGAGACTGCGTGTGGATAAGACACTGGGGATTATCATTTACATTTTCAGACGTATGGGATACACTTTCCAACACGGCAGCCCCTATTCCATGTAGCGACTCAATTCTAAAATCATTAGAATTTTTAATTCAGGTCTTCAGTCACAGGAGCCAAATTTCAAGAGCTTAGCAGTTTTACCAGGCCAGTGTTGCCCCTTGGGCACAAATAGAGGACATTTGTATTAGTACTAAGTGATGTCACAGATAGCTCTGGACACCCTTAGGCATTAGAAGGGGGGTTGTAACTGTCACATAGATGATGGATTAACATCTGGGCTAACGGTCCCGCCCACCATCGTCCCTCTACTAGATCTCAAAGTAGAAATCTCTCGAGACCAACTCAGCCTTCCTGGGCTCCACACCCCAAATGAGGCAGGAAAGTTTTCCTAGGTCTGAGCCCTCAGTGAGGGGCATGGCAGTTTCTAGAATGTGCTTTTCCCAGCCCGGTATGCCCTCTGTTGCTGTCTCTGCCCTGATTGGTGCCCTTGCCTCCCTCAGATCATATGGAGACCTTCGGTGCACCCAGTACTGCTACATCGACTCCACACCCTGTCGTTACTTCACGTGAGGAGCTCGAGGAACAGGTGGGCTGCAGCCCATGTAACTGGGGGCTGTATCTCTGCCTCTCACATCAAGCTGGCCTTACCCTCTCCTTGGCCAGTGTCTACCGACCTTCATATGACGAAACAAGAAGACACTCTTGCTGCTAAGATGTGTTTTTGACTGGAAGTTTGACTGGAAGAATTTTGGACCACTGCATCCTGTCTTAATTAAAAGAACCAGAGATCTTCTCCATGTCCGCCCTGGGACTCCCCTCCCTCATCTGGCTAAGCAGCTGGCTGTAATGCCTTATCTCTTCTGGAACGATGCCGTCTCAGGCCATGGACTTGGCTTAGCACTGTTATTCATACAGGAATTGGCAGGGCTCATGTGCTTTGTTCTGCTCTCATCTAAGGCTGGGAGTGCTGGCGCACTGGCTTCTGCATCCTTCAGATCTCCAACACAGCCGTTCTTACCCAAGGCAGCCAACTGTTAGGTTTCTCAAGATTTAAGAACCACAAAACAGGAGGTGAGCATGCTCTCGTGGTGCAGCTCCCAGCTTCAGGCCTACCGAGGGACCCTTCAACTGGCCAGAGCCACAGCTTTGTGTGGAGTTGGAAGTACTAAGAAAGCCATAACCAGGCCGGAACAGAAACCTTCCTCCTCTTGAAGTTCTCAGAAGGACAGTGGTGACAGCATCACATCCCAGGTGCCATCGTGGCCTCTGCCTTGACAGTGCCCTTCACAACCATGTCCTGTGTGGGAGACTCACTCCACACACCCTCAGCAGGGCAGGTGCTGGTGTTTTCTCATGCTGGCTTTCCCAGTCTATGGCTCCACTGCTGAGTCCTTGCTGCCTGCTGGAAGGGCCCTGTGACCTCTTCCATGCCTGTATCTTGCACACCCTTGTATTTCCCCCTGTGTGCCTGATGACTTCCTTTTGTCCTTAACCCCACTTATCTGAGAACTGCCTTGCCCATATTTCTTGAGTGGGGTTTGGCTCTATTTTGGAAAGACATTTCTTTTTGTCCCTGTCCCCAGTGCACATACCTACCTTGTCACCTCCTAGGTTGCTCTCTGGACTGTTAGTGAGCTTAAGTCTTGGAAACTCAGCAGGCAGCACTTTGTTACCCAGCAAGTCGGAACTGTGAACTGTATTTCCTGAGAGAGATGAGCTGCGTCTTCATAGGCAGAGGCTGTGTCTTTGCAGGCAGGCATTTATGCTGTTTACAGAACTATTTGGGGGGTAATCTGAGTATCAAGGAATAAAGGTGATTCCTGGCTGTGACCTGATCTCCCGTGGGTTCTGAGACAGTGCCTACTGATGCTGGATAAAGCAGAGAGATTGGAGTCAGTTCTACTTCCCAGACTCTCAGATGACTGGATTCAGGGCACGCAGCTTCCTTGAGGATAATGGAGGAAACTCCTGTCCAGGGAGGTAGCAAGGCTTACCAAAGATCACCAAGCATAGTCCTGCTGGCCTAGTCCTGGTTCTTACCTTGCTTGAGGACCGTCTTGCATAGACACCTTGTGCCACCTGTCAATCTAGCTAAGACACATTCTGTCCTGAGTCTCCCATCATAGGGAGCAGCCTTGAGGCCTTAGAGAGTCGTTAGGTGGCCACAGAGCCCATATGTGCCAGGTAAATGTGCCCTGAGGTAATTTTATAGCCAGCACGGACCTAGATGAGGGGTCCCAGTGTGGAAAGAAGAACACAGGAAGACACTTCCTGAGCTCGCACCTGGTACAGCGCCTCTCCCTGAGTTAGCCATAGGCTGCTCTTCTAACTCTACCAACTCGCCTGTGGAGATGCTGCTCTGTACCCCAAGAGGGCACTCCGCAGAGATGGTGAGGGATTCCCTCAGCCGTCCCCGAGGCTGTCACGTGAGTGGCTGAGATTATGACTAGGATTTCAGAGTCACAGCTGGCAACCCAACGAGGTTATGCCAGCCACAGGGTGGTATTTATCAAGTCACAACTGAGACGTCCAGTGGTGGGTAGACAGTGTTCAATGAAAGGCTCCACTTCATTTTTCTGCCTCCTCTCTGCTGCCAGAGTCTCCTTTGCTAATGTGAGCACTATCTTCTCTCCAGCATGACCCAGAGGCTCTCAGTCCCCAGTGCCCCCAGTTAAATCCCACCTTTAGACTACTCAGCCTGTTTCGGGTCCCAGGCCTCTTTTTAAACAACCAGAAGCAAGGCGTCTGCTGAGTTAATCACAGCTGGGTTCCTGAACCCATAATGCCAAAGGTGACAATATTACATTTGTCCTATCCTCTGAGAATTCTCCAGAAACATGATGGCTACCTGGCTGACCCCTGAAGTGCGGGAGTAAGGGTTAGGGTGCTGTTTAGCTTCCTTTCCTGTTGAAGTGAGAGAACTCCCTGACAAAACGGCTTTGGGGTGGCATGGAGTCATGAGATGGTCCAACAGGTCAGACACTTGCCCCTGGACTCGATGGCCTGAGTTCAATCTCTGTAACCCACATCGTAGAAAGAAGAAGGGAAAGAAAGAAAACAGAGAGGGGAGGGAGTTGAGACAGACAGACACACACGCACACAATTCTGTGTTTAGTTTAGAAGTAGAAACTGCGTTTCTGTGGCAGCATGAGGGTCGGTTCTCCCAGGCCACAGTGGGATGCTCCATTTGTACTGACTGACCTTCAGGGAACAAAAGACTCACAGTCCGGGAGCTGAGCCAGAAAGACTGGCAGTGGTAAGTGTCAGGGGATGGCAGCAACAGAGCAAGGCTGGAATGGCACTGAGAACGAATCGGCAGCCACTCAGAAGGGACCACTTGAACTGCAGTGGCAACGCCTTGGGAGAAATGTCACTTCTCACTAATTCTGGAGCCGGCTTTGTGTCTAATGAGTGGCAGGGCACAAGATGGCTTTGACACCTCCTAGGCTGCAGTTCTACACTTTCAGTACTGAGCCGGCTTTTGAGGATTTCAGCAGTGAGAGGCCCCTGTTCTGCTCAGCTGACTCCCAGGGACACAATCTGTCAGAGGCTAGCCAGCTGTAAAGGTGACGTATGTGTAAGCCAAATGTGGTCTCTGGAGAAAGCCTAGCAACTAGTACTCAGGGAAAGCAGGAGGACATGTTTCTGGGTATTTCCTGCAACCCACAAATCTCAACCAACCTAATAGGGGCATGGAGAGCGCACTGAGCGTATTGATGAAGAACCTGCAAAACTCATGAGGGGGTAGAGGTCAGCCTCTGCCCGAGTGACTGCTCCCAGGAACCTAGCCCCACCCACCTCCTGTAGCAGAGCAGGCCAGTTGAAATCATCAGTGAAGTTCAGTTCTTCCACCTGTGTGGGTCAAGGCCGTTGGCCACTGATCAAGGATTTCATGCCAACGTTAATTGCACATGTGTCCAGAGGTTCAGGGGCAGAGGTCACTCAGCATATGACACAGGAGTAAAGCTGGGTGTAGCCACATACATCTGTGATCCCTATACTTGGAGATGGAGGTAAGAGGATCTTGAATGCAGTCCACTTAGGATACATAGCAAGTTCAAAGCCACCCAGATCAACACTGTGAGCCCCTGTTTCAGAGTTACAGAGGACGTGAATCCGCATGGATTACCTTTATCTGAGGTCCACCCTGAGTCCTTCCCAGACCCAGACAACTCTCCTAAAAACACAATCTTAGTGTCAGAAGAGAGTGGTCCCTTCACATTTCTCCTAGCTTCTGTAGGCGTGAAAGGATCACTTATGACACTTTCTGTTACAAGGGCTCTGATATCTCCAGTTTCCAATGTTGCATCTAAGGGCAGAAATGATCGAAAAGTGGGCCCGGGGCATGGGGCTTTAAATACAACTTCCATTCCAGCCATGAAGTCCTGGCTTCCTCCTCTTGAATGGGGGAGGGACTGCTTTGACCAAAGAAATACTATGGTCTCCTCAGGCTAGGCCGTAGGGCACACAGCTTCTCAGAATATCCCTAGAGGGAGCCAGTTTTTCAGAAGAAAGCCGGCTCCCATTAGATGGCTGTGCAAGGTCATGCAGGCCTTGTGCCTGATGGGTCCAGATGACCTGCCGTCCAGCCATGCCCACCCAGGTGCTGGATACATGAATGAAGGCACAGAAGCAGACCTGCCTGGCTAAGTGTGGTTCCAAACCTTAAGCAAGAGAACCCATGAGAGAATGTGGTTGTTGCTTTAAGTTTTGGGTGGTTTGTTACAGTAACTGGAATCTGGGATGTCGTTGGTGTAAGAAAGGTGTCAAACTTTGCATCACTTGACACACCCGGAAAGTGGACCCCTCAATGAAGGATTTGCCTCTACCAGGTTGGCTCATGGACACACCTGTGGGTATTTTCTTGATCGCTAACTGGTGTGGGTGACGTCACCCGGAGCAGCTGGGCGAGGTTGTGTAGTAATGATAGCCGAGGCCACAAGAGGGAGCAAGCCAGGAAGGCAATGTTCCTCCATGATTACTGCTTCAAGCTCCTGCCTTAGGTTCCTACCCTGTCTTCCCTAGGTGATGGACTTATGGGTGATGTAGTCCATAAGCCAAATAAGCTTTCCCTCCTGCAAGTTACTTTTAGGACAGAAGAGGCAAAGGGAAACAAACTTCAGCATGAAGGAGCCTTGTGTGCACCCTGTCGCACTAATCAACCACTGCCTTGCATTTGGCGCCCTCTGCAGGAACCAGGAATAAAACCTGAGAAACTGGTCTTAGCTCCTACTGGGATTTCCTCTCTGAGAGACATACACACAATGGCAGAGCCCCAGAGGCCTCAGAGACCCTACTGCTCTCTGTTTGTTTGTTTCCTTCTTCCCTCCCTCCCTTCCTCCCTTTCCTTCTTCTCTCCCTCCTTCCCTCCCTTTCTAAATTTTATGTGCATTGGTGTTTTGCCTGCATGTATTCTGTGTAAGGGTGTCAGATACCTTGGAAATGCAATTTCAGATAGCTGTGAGCTACCTTGTAGATGCTGGTACTCCAACCTGGGTTCTCTGTAAGATCAGCCAGTGCCCTTTTTTGTTTGTTTGCTCCTTCCTTCCTTCCTTCTGTTTTCTTTCTTTCTTTTTCTGCTCCCTCCCTGCTTCTTTCTTTCTTCCTTTCTTTCTTCCCCCTCCTTCCCCTTTCCTCTTTCTTTCTTTCTTTCTTTCTTTCTTTCTTTCTTTCTTTCTTTCTTTCTACAAACTAATCTATAGTAATAAAAACAGCATGGTATTAGCACAAAACAGACAAACTGAGTCAGGTGTTGGTGGCACACGCCTGTAATCCCAGCACTTGGTAGGCAGAGGCAAGCTAATCCTTGTGAGTGTGAGACCAGCCTGGTCTACAGAATGAGTTCCAGCACAGCCAGGGCTACACAGAGAAACCTAGTCTTGAAAAAGAAAAAAAAAACAAGCAAACAATAAGAATAAAAAGAGATTTTTTACCAACTACACATCCAACAGAGGGCTAATATCCAAAATATATAAAGAACTCAAAGTATTAGACATCAAGGAAACAAATAATCCAATAAAGAACTGGGATACATTTTTTTTTGACAGAGTTTCTCTTCATAGCCCTGGATGTCCTGGAACTCACTCTGTAAACAGGATGACCTTGAACCCAGAGATCCACCTGCCTCTGCCTCCCAAGTGCTGGGGTTAAAGGTGTGTGTCACTACCACCTGATATGGTACAGATCTAGAATGAAAATTCTCAACAGAGGAAGCTCAAATGTCTGAGAAACACTTAAAAAAATGTTCACCACCACTAACCATGAGGGAAATGCAAATCAAAGCTAGTTTGAGGTGATAACTTAGACCTGTCAGATGACTAAGATCAATAAAAGAAGTGACAAATCATGCTGGTGAGGATGTAGATGTGGTCGTTTGAAAGAAAGTGGTCCCCAAAGGGAGTGGCACTGTTAGGAGGTGTGGCCTTGTTGGAGTAGGAAGTGCATCACTGTGGAAGTGGGCTTTGAGATCTCACATATGCCCAAGCATGCCCAGTAAGACAGACCACTTCCTGTTGCCTGCTGATCAAGATGCTAGGAATCTCAGCTCTAATACCGTGTCTGCCTGAATGCAGCCAGGCTTCCCACCACAATGACAATGGACTAAATCTCTGGACTGTAAGCAAGCCACCCCAATTACATGTTTTCCCTATAAGAGTTGCCGTGGTCGTGGCGTCTCTTTACAGCAATAGAAACCATGACTAAGTCATAGAGTAAGAGGAACGCTCATGCATTGCTGGTGGGAGTGCAAACTCATACAGCCGCTATGGAGATCAGTGTGGCAGTTCTTCGGGAAGATGTAAATCAACCCACTTCAGGAT